ATTTTACGTCATTTCAAATTAAAAAAAAAAAATCAGGTCATAGGTACCTGCACTTTTTTTGAAATGAAACGAGCTACCCAAGTATCAGGTAACCTTCAGAAAAAAAMCAGCTACTAAAAATCAGTGTGCAATGAGAGAAGTTTCATTTTAATTGAGGGAGGTAAGAAAATCTGTTAAGAGAGGCAGTGTTTTATAGGCTCATCATTTTTGTGTTAACTACTACACTTGAAATTTGGTTCACCTACCTACTGTGTAAATCCTTTTCTTTCTGGTTTTGGATTCTCAAGCTTTCTTACACATAAAAAAAAAGGGAAAAAATCCTTTCAAATATATATCAAATATTTTAATTTGATATACTCATTCCATAGAATCATTRCAGTTGGGAAAGACCTCCAGGATCACGGAGCCCAACCGAAGCCCCCAGCACCACCCCTGCTGACCCRTGTCCCCAGGGTTTCATCTGCACGTTCCCCGCACACTGTGAGGGACAGRGACCCCGCTGCTTCCCTTGACAGCCTGTTCCGGAGCCTCACCGCTCTTTCCGAGTAGAAACCCTTCCTAACATCCAACCTGGACCACTGGAGGCTGTTCCCTCATGTCYTGTCTGCAGCTCTCCAGGCAGCTGCAGAGAGCAGTGAGGTCTCCCCASAGCCTCCCCCAGGCTGAACAGCCCCAGCTCCCACAGCAGCTCCTCGCAAGGYCTCTGCTCCAGCCCCTTCCCAGCCCCGCTGCCCTCCTCTGGACCAGGAGCTCCAGCACCTCCGTGYCCCTCGTGCAGCGACGGCCCAAACCTGAGCAGGGYGTTYGAGGGGCGGCCTCCCCAGCGCCGAGCACGGGGGCACCGTCACTCCCTGGTGCTRCTGGCTGCGCTGCTCCCGATACCAGCCAGGAGTCCTTGGCCTTCCTGGCCACCTGGGCCCACTGCTGGCTCGTGTTCAGCTGGACCCCCAGGTCCAGCTCTCCAGCCGCTCCGCCCCAAGCCTGCAGCCCTGCATGGGGTTAATGTGGCCAAAGTGCAGTAGCCCACACACTTGGCCTTAACCTCATACAGGCGGTCTCAGCCCAGAACCTAAATTGCTGGATTCATAGCCATAAGGSTAAGAGAAAATGATTCACGTTCCCATCACTAATTCACTGAGCAAGACTTGTGTCTGCAGTTAATGCTCAGCTTATTCCACAAACGGCAACAACACGTTTTCAGCAGGCCGAGAACTGATCGTTTAATGCTGCACTGATACTTTTGTGCAGTTATTTCATTCCACTAGTAGCAAGAACTACTGGCACAGCAAAGAACCAGAACATAAAAGAGTCCCTAAAAGGCAACAGGATAGGAAACTCGGAGGAGAGATGTCTGAACTCAGTGAAGCCTGGAGGTAGAAATGAGCAAACCACGATGACACAGGAAATCCTTTCAGCAGGAAGCAGACATCAAAGTGATCTGGTGCCTCTGGGCCAAGGAGTGAACAGATAAGGAGTCCTCAAGCACAGACCTATAATGTCCTAAGAGAAAGCTCATTATCTGTCCCAGTATGACAGCGAGGGGAGCAAGGAAAGCAAAGTTTCCATGATGTTCTCCATTTGTAAACCCCATCTCTAGCACACACAGTACACCTTTTAAAATGCAGCTTGAAAACAAATGAAGTTCAGCACTGACTCCCTCACCATTTTCTACACTTACCTAAAACATTAGGTGGAGCTGGAAGGCGGGGCAGCTTTAAGTAAGTTTTTTTAAGATCTCAAATTTAGACCCATGAGTAAGCATGCCTCGTTTCAGACATACCTGGCATGCCTGAATGACTCAAAAGCTTTTAGGACACCCTTTTTTTTTTATAAAATAAAGTGCTTAAGGAACACAGATCCAAACATGAAACACCCCATAAGCCTCCCAGCCCCTGCAAATACACAGATACTTCCCCAGTGCCTACAAACCAGGCCTGCCTTTGAGCCGCACACACTCACTGACRGGCAGAGCCCAGGTCCTGAGCCAGGCTCGACTGCTCCGGGCTCATTTGAAGGAAAGGGAAGCTGATACAGGAGATTTGGGAATATTTAATGGACTATGCACGTTATACATAGCATACGGGAATTCTACGAAGGTGCAAACTACGCGGCACCTGCGTTGGGCTCCAGCTGCCGATTAAGGAGAGGAAAGCAGAGGCCGAAGGGGATGCGAGGTGGCCAGAGAGGAGGTGCCGCACGCCCCGCAGCCCCACGAGCCGCCCCAGCCGCTCACCTGCCGGGTCATGAGCGACTTGATCTTCTGCATGACGATGACAACAACGACGACGGCGACGCCGCCACCTCAGGCCGCGGGCTCCATCCTCTCCCCCCGGCCCAGGGAAGCCATGTTGCGCGGCACGTGACACGGCGCGCCCGCTGCACCCTGGGACGGGTAGTCCCGCGAGGGCGTCGCGGCCTCCGTGTGGCGGGCGAGGGACGCGCCGGCAACTACAAATCCCGTCGGCACCCGCGCCGGGCGCTGTAGGGGCGGGAGGGCGATGCCGGCGCCCCCTGCTGCCGGTGCTCCCGCCTTGCGGCAGGGAGCGTTTTGAGGGGAAAAAAGCAGGAAACGGCGCTTTGCTCCTGCTGTCGGTGCCTTATATCGCGATACACCGATGCTGGGAGCACCCGCCCTGCGGGGATTCGGAAGCGGTTACCTGAAACGACAAATAAAACCTCAGTGACAAATCAAAGGGCAGAGCCGGAAAGCAGYGCGTGGCTGTGATAGCCACAGCCACTCCAGTGCAGTCACACAGATCTCAGCTATATGTTTATATATATTCCCGTGATCTTTGCTTTGGTGTGACACTGAAGAGTAAGGCTATCTGTGTCCAGGGCAGCCTAACTCCGCATAAGATAATAACTCTTTGGAGATCCTGAGTCTAACACATAGATCAGCCCAGCACATACATTTTAATGCCATTCTTTAGACGCACAGCTGCCCAAGTGCCTGTTGCTGATGCGTTTGATGGATGTATTTCTGCCAGTATTAGGCGGCAGAATGATGAAAATGAACCTGAAAACCAAAAATTTCCCTTTTTCTCCAGCAAGAATTACTTGTTTTGGCTCCCATTGAAAATAACATTCATAGTTATTTCTGCACAAAACCTCTAATGAGTTGAGAACATTAAAAAGCAATTTATTAGTAACAAAATAAGATTAGCTGAAATATAAAATTATTCAGAATATTATTGCTATAAATAAAGTTCCTTTAATGCAACTTTAATCCAGTTGCTTCTGTTAAAAGGAAATTTGTGAGGTTTGAATAGCATTAAGTCTAAATGCTACTTATCCAGCACAACTATGCAACTTATCAGCACAAAATAGAATTCTATAGAAAAAAATAAATCTACATTTTATTTGTGTGAGTTAATATAAAAAAATAGCAACATAACATGTTAATTACATTAGGAGCATACCACAAAGCTGGAAATAGAGACACATTTACTTAAAAATCTATCGGTGCTGATCTGTGTTATTTTTCTAGATTTTCTTAGCCCACACAGCATTTTAAAAGACTGAGAATGACTTTATCGAAGTGTGAAAGCTCCCATTCATTTATTTTAGACAATATTTCGAACCTATAACCAATATTTTATTACAATTTGAAGCCAAATACATAATCTTTCCTAAGTCGGGTTTTATAATAAGTTRAAACATGACATGCGTAGGTTCTAGCCCAGTGGGTTAAACACAGGTTACAACGAACAGCATTTGGGTGGAGGAGGAAAGGAGACACCTGAAGCCCTTGGGAGTGCACAGAACGGCCTCTGCATCTGCCAGCTGCTGCTCGGCAGCGACATTATTTCTGCTGGCATCACTGCATGACTTTGTTAAGCTGGARTAACTTTTATTTCTTGCATTTGACCAGATAAGGTTGCTAAAAGGAAGGTTCTGAAAAGTTCCAGCTCCTTTTAATTTAAGTAAAACTTGAGCGTTTAGACCTTCCAGTGGTTGTTTAGTTCCCTGCTCTTAACACCAGCATGAGCACATAGTGAGAGCGGGGCAGCTCCTTGCAACCTGTCCCTCCTCCACAAGGCAGGATACACGACAGCCTAATACTTATCAATCCATAATAGTCTGCCTGAGTGCTGGACGGTGAAAACTTAAAGTTCATTTTTCTGTGGATAAACCGTCTCTGTTGATGCAAATATTTGCTTTTGCAAACTATCATTGCACACGCACCTCTGGGAGGGCAGCCTGGTTTAGTGCTGATTAGATTTGAACAGTGAGTGACAGCCTTGGACAAAATCCAAAGAATGCATTAATTTTAATATTCATTTAAACTGATGTAAGTTATTGCAGAATAAACAATAACAAGCAGCTAAATCCACAGCTTTATCATGTTGTTCACTTTATCTAGAGGATACCCTTCACATTACATCTATGCTGCTTAGAGAAAGGGAACAAAATCATCTCTGAGTAAGCATGCTAAGGAAAAACCTTGAAAAAGTTACAGGAAGCAAGCACTAGGAAGTGGGAAGATTTGACATTTTCATAGCTCCTATACTATTTTTTATTGTTGTTCGTTTCCGGTTTTAGACAAGCCTGTGTATTAGCTGATAATATTTTTATAACCGAAATTGAGACCTTGTAAAAAGACAAATGAATACTTGGATCTAATTTGAAATGAGTAGAATCATGTAACAGCACAGTTTTTTTATGTCACTGTGCAACTATATGATATTAATACCTAACTTGTACATTGTGAACATTTATTTAAATCAACTCAGCGTGCTTCATATTCTGCACCTCGTTTATTACATTCTGTGCCCTGTTTGCTCTGGGGAAGGGTTACGATAAAGCAATGAAGATGGGCACTAATCTAACAGGTGCTCCACTCCCTTTGTTCTTTGTATACACRTATTCAAATGACACAAGGCAGGGGACAGGATAGGGCCTGTTAACTCATTGCTGATTTTCCTAGCAAATAAACCAGCAGCTGCTGATCCAAGCTCTGGCTTAACACTGAGAAGAAGGTGGGATTTGTATGGGACAGGATGCTTTCATGGAGCCCTTTAGCAACTTATTTTGCGACTTATCGTGCAAAATATATTTTCTACTTGTAGGTAAGAAACAGTATGAATGATATTTGASTGCCGTTGCGGTAATGTGACTAATTTTCCTATTCCTAAGCCTACATACACTTCTATTATATTATCAGTTGTTTTATTTTAAGTAGTCTTAACAGGTTTTAATCACAAAATGTCACCATTTTGTGACTAGAACTAGAGACTTTTATAAGCTCTCAAAATTTAGCACTATACATACCTGTAAATAAAACACCGATGTTGATAGTATAGATATACATATGTCACATCATTTTTAACTAAAATAGACATTTTGCATTTTTATAACAAGTATGGCTTGACAGGTTCAGAACCAAAGCTGATTATAGATGTCATTCATCTATTTAAAAATGCATTATGTTGTATTGGTGCTGACTTATTTTTCAGTTATTATTATGATGTCTTGCTATTAATATGTAAAATTTCTATTAAATATTTAAATGTATTTGGTATTAAAGCTAATTTAATCTTTTGGTCAGCTGAAGATGTCTTTCCACTAATAGTACTTTTGCTCAATATCTGGGTACAGTCTTCATAAGGATACAAGTTATCCTTGCCTTTGATTAAAAAAAGAAAAGTTTATGCATTTTTACAGCAATTTCCTGTGATTACATGTTAGTTAAAGTTATATTTCTACAACTCCTGTAATCCACTTTTGCTACTCCAACATCTTGAAGGTCTTTTCCAACTATAATGATTCTTCGATTCTATACTTTAATTTTTTGTAGATATCAACAGAAGGAATATGTAGTTTTACAAATATATTACATCCTTTCTTAGTTGATGTGTAAGGACATTTTTTCTTTTATCCTTTTTGTGAACCATATACAGAAACCAGTTTTTCTTGATTTTGAGTTAAACATTTTGTAAAGACTTTTGGTTTCAAAACAGCTGCAGTTTTATATGAAGATTATCAGATCTCTTCTTTAAAACTCAAAAAATATTTGATAAGAATATGATGAATATTTACTTTTTTATCTGCATTACATCTTCATTGAAACTTTCGGTTAAAATTCTACAATAGATATTGGCATGTTCACCAGGCAGTCTCATATTCTCATTCAGAGACACAAGTTTCTTAGTATGGGAAATATGTAACTTGTATTTTTTTTTATCATGATAGGAATTGGACTCATTGGGGGCATGAGATGAAGCCCACTGAAGGTTTTCGTGGCTAGAATTTGGTCAAACAAACAAGCCAACAGAACCCTTTGTTGGTTAAAAATTTCAAAATTGTAAGATTGTGCCTCAGTTCCTCTTTCTATAAGTGGAGGCAGAAAAATAGCAGATTTCCTGCTCCATCTGCTCCATCATATATATWTTTTTTTTCATAAATGAATGTCTTTGCAAAAGTTGTTAAAAGTGTGATTTAATGGTAATTCACACCAAGTGCACCAAGAGCTAAATGAACGCTCATGTGCAAAGCAGTTGAGAATCCAAACTCACTTTGACAAGGGGATGCATGTGTTAAATTCAGAGAATGAAAAAACCTCGCTGAGCAGGTTTGGGTTTATGCAGTAAACTCTAAAGTTATGTCATAGTTTTTATTTAAACTAAAGCTACAGCCCTTGTTTTATGTCAACGGCTCTGTTGTGCTTGCTAATACTGAGGAGAGTGAAAGAGATCACAGCTCCAGATGGAGGTCATTTTGGCACAACCCACTTTGCTTGTAGTCGTTCCATAAAAATTAGTTACAGGAATTGCATCCTGATGGAAAAATGTACATTATACTCAGAAAGCTATAGCAATGGGGTTAAATAATATGGAATATGTGCCTACGGGGATATTACTGTGTGCACCAAGTTGGGCCTGATTTCACTATTACATTAACTCAAGAATCGTAAGATTCTTCAGTTTTAATTTAATGAAAAGTCAAAACGTATGAAATGAGCTTTCTACTAAAGCCACAAGTCCCCTGGTGTTCCTGCCATAAAACGGGAGCCTTTTAGGGATGAGCAAGAACTGGTAAGGCCRTCTCCATACACAGGCCTCAGCCTCCCCACAGCCCTCCCAGCCCAGGGAGCTCCCTCCTTAACYGCAATTGGAAAGGTTTTCCTAAGCTGTTAAGTGGAACCACTTTTTTCCATGAATCACCAGAAACCCAGTTARGGTTAATTTCCCGTTTCTTTTGTATATTTTTAACTGGAAAGCAGTAAAATTTTTGAGGCAGAATTCTGTTTATTTTAATATGAAGGGCTTGAGATTCATTTATGATGGTAGCTTTTATACTGGTGATCCCCGTTATCCCTGTGCTGACTACACCTGCTTTTTTTTTTCTGCCAATTTTCTGTCCACACAAATCTGTGAGAAATATGTTTTGCATAATTTCTGATTACTATGGCAGCTGTCACCAGCTTTTTATGCAGAGTGCAATCAGCAGCTACATAACCCCTCAAACTGAGCAATTTCATGCATAGCGAGTGAAAAAGGATCTAGCCAGATCTTTTCAATTGATCCTTTAAAGATTTCTCCGTATTTGCCATTTACAGGTATTAACTTGAATTAAGGAGTTTTAAAAGTTCAGAAGTACTAGGCAGGGTTAACATGTTAACATCTCCATCTTGCACCTGCTCCACTTACATCTACCTGTCTCTTTTCCGATACTTCTTCCCCGTGCCATGTTTCTCCCCACTGAGCTGCTCCTGCACATTTTTCCACAGCAGTGTCCACACAGTCTGAAATATCTGCCCTTTTCCTCTTTATTCCCAGAGAAAGGGGCTTTGCCAGGCTTTTCATCAGGGGATTTCACCACCTTTACACACGTTACCCCTACAGCTTTCTGCTGAGGAGCTGCACCAAGCTGGTTCCCTTTGGTTTCCATGCCAGAAACCATCTGTGGTAGCTGAAATAAAACTGCTCAGCTTCATGAAATGTGTTCAGGTAGGAGGCAAGAATTAGAAGCCAGGTACAAAGTGACTCTTTTTGTAGGCTCATAGCTGGCTTTTTATTGAGTGTAAAGCTTAATAACTGCAGAATTGACAGAACATGACCAGAGATTTCTTAGTATGTATTCTTCCTGAAATAGAGGTAGTATACCAGAGATCTGTGTTATTTTTTTCTTTTCTGTTTGTTTGGTGCAGAACCTCAGAGAACATAACTAGCCACCCAAGACCAAGTCCTCTCCCACACCATATCTTTTCAATAAGTTCTCTGCTTCTTTTCATGCTCTCCAAGAGTATCTCTGACATAAATTGCTGGCATTCTATGGCTCCCTACTGCATCTGTCATTCCCACCCCCCTCCTCATAACCTGCCCTAMTCCACACTTACACAGCGCTCTTTTATTTGCCATTTAGCTCCATTAGCCCAAATGGTAAACAGCTGTGCAGTGAAATTTGAAGATTCTAACCCAAAAGGCAGCACATACAGATGTCATATTATGCTACCAAGTTGACATTTTTATATCCTTTCTGTAATATAACTGAAGAAATTAGACACACACGAACCTTTAACAAACATCTTTTTGTCATGAAGACAAATACTATACAGCTAGAAAATGCAAAAAACAAAAACATTATGCATCATATTAATCTTTAATAGCACAGTTACATACCATTTTTCTCACGCAGCTCCCCCTGCCCACTTTTTCTCCAAGAGGTGATAGGTAATTCAGCAGGAGAGTTACTTTACTGCAGATATTGGGAGGTGTGTGAAGAATAAAGCGCTAAATAGCAGGAGGATAAGGTACCATACACAGTGAAGCTGCTGAATGTTGCCCTGGCAAATGCATTCTTGCAGTCATCAGTGAGTTCCTATGCAGTGCTGGGCACATTACTTAAATCAAGCTTTTCACAGGTAAATTTTCACTAATAAGAGGTTGCCTGTTTCTGTCACTTGAAGTGTCTTTGCAGAAATGCTAAGTGCGCAAAGCAACAACTGAAGTCAGCAGGAAATGTATCTTCAAGATAGAAAATTGTATTTGTCTGTGTTTTGAAAAACCGAGGCCTTCATGTCTCAAATTGGCAATCCAAAATCAGTGGATACCTTTGTATTAATTCTAATTATGCTTCAATTTCTTGTCTGAGAAGTCTTATCCATTACATGGTGCTGTGAAATCAGTTCATTAATGCCAGTGCCTCACACTATTGCTATACTTAGGAGTGTGGTGGAAAAGTTCACATAGAAATTGATCACTCAGCCTTAAGAGTAAAATTTTCATAATGTGCTATAAATCTAAAGTTGATATGATGAAAGCTGATTATAAAATAAAGCATGGGAAAGCTAACAAGGAACTGAACCAGTGGCCAGCTTACACCCTTAGGAGGCAGGATTCATGGAGAATGGGGTTAATCATGAAACACAAYGTTTTGCTTTTGTAGATATCAACAACAAACTGCTGTTTTTTTCARCTACAGTTGGAATATTTTGCTTTTGTGATCTAATAGTGTTTCTGCAATAAAGTGTATAGTGCAGGCAACAATAGTAACTACATACAATTTACTTGAAACAGCCACTAGTTAGACTCGTCAGTCAGTTTCTCAGGGCAGATACAGTAAGATGCAGCTCAAGTGGAAAACAGCTGTGCAGTGAAATTTGAAGATTGTAACCCAAAAGACATGACATACAGATGCCATATTATGCTACTAAATTGATTTTTATATCCATTTCTGTTAAATAACCTAGGAACACACATGAGAAAATAATATAATACTATAACATAGTATATATTAYATATTAAATATTATAATATATGGAATAACTTATATAATTATATAAGATAATAATATATGAGAATATATAATGAAATATAGTAATAATAATACAGGATAAATAATAGTAAGAAATGTCTCCCTAGATAACCCCACAAAAAAAAAATACATTGTGTCTGCAGTCCAAGACAGTTAGACTGTGTAAGCCCTAAAAACTGAGACAATTTTAAAGTGAAAATATTTAAAACTAAAAGGTGAGTGCGCCTTTTCTCATTTTTGTCACTCTTTTAAAAGTCTTTTGCCCAAGGATCACAAATATCCCTTCCAACTTTTGCTTTCCATTAATGTTGATGCTGGAGCTATATAGCTAGATCAAATTCCACTGAATTCAGTGAGAATTTTCCCCTTTCTTCCCTGAGACCTGAGTCATAACCACTTTTAAAAGTGTAAGCTTAATTCTGTTCTTTTTCTATGAGAATTGCTCATTTTAATTTCCTAGTGTTCCCATTTGTGGTTTGTCTTTGTTTATTATTTTGTTGTTTCTTTTTTTATACAGGTGCTTGTTCTGCCTTAAAACTAACAGTGCCGTCTCATACTATCCATGGTATTGAGGGGCAACCACTCCATCTTATTGTTAACTATAATTTCAGCACTACAGCTTCTGAAGTCCAGATTATTTGGCTGTTTGAAAGGCCTCAAACTAATCCAAAATACTTGCTCGGCTCTGTAAATCGGACAGTGGTTCCAGACTTGGAATATCAGCACAAATTTACCCTCATACCACCGAATGCATCTCTGGTGATCAATCCATTACATTTCAGTGATGAGGGCARTTACATTGTAAAGGTCAATGTCCGTGGGAATAGGACAATAGCTGCCAGTCAAAAGATTCAAGTAGCCGTTGATGGTAAGTTAGTAAAATGTAGTATCTTCATTTGCAAATAAAATTGCAATACTTTTGAAGTACCAGTACTTAGAATCTAATGGTATATAATAATTTAATCCAACTGTACATGAATAACAATTAAGTTATGTTATTTTCTACAGCTGCCGGAGGAATGGCAGAATATTTCATCTTTAAACAAAGTCAGTACATTTACTAATATTTTTCATAAGTAACTGAAAGAGTATAGAAATCAATAATTAATATGAAATTAGACAGACTGATAAGAAATGTTTCAAAAGGCTGCACTGTGCTTTCAGTCAGGAGGATGCATTAATGTGAATCATCAGTCCTGAGCAAGCCAGACTGCCTTGCAGTAACGCTGAGCGAGTCACCTAGTGTGGGCACTGTCATGCCTTGCACTCGATCCTTCTTGTGGCTAATGTCTTCTGCTCATGGGACAGAAGGTAGATGCCACAGGATACCTAATTCCAACCTTTGTTATATTATCRGTAAAAGAAACTCTAGCTTTATTTAAGTCCATAGAACAATTCTTGCAGTCATTAGCTGAGAATTTGGGCCTATTTTTTAAATGTTTAACTATATTTCACAAACAAAAATTGAAATATGAGTACTTTCCAGATAAGATCATGACTACTATTTGTATAATCTAGACAGTGAAGACTATAATRTAGTGGCTAGTCACTTTTATAACTTTTCATATCTGTTTACAGTTCCTGTCACAAAGCCAATTCTACATACAGAACCGTCTTCAGGGGTAGTGGAGTATGTAGGAAATATAACATTAAAATGCACTGTGGGAAAAGGTACAAGAGTAGCCTACCAGTGGATGAAAAATGGCAAGCCTCTCCATGCTGGCCCTAATTACACCTTCTCATCAAACAATGCTACGCTTTTAATTCTTCCTGTTGTAAAAGAAGACATTGGGAATTACAGCTGTTTGGTATCCAATCCTGTCAGTGCAATGGAAAGTGAGATCATTGCACCAACCATATATTGTAAGTATCTTATATATTCCTAACTACCTTTGTATAAGTGCTTTGGCTGGAAAGAGTACCTCTAACTATGTCAAGCAGGCAGTTGAGTCAACATTATATGTAGGTTTGTAGTCAAAATAATTTTGTTTGCAATAGCTATAACTTCTTACAATCGTTTTGAATCAAGACCTGTTTAATATTTTCATTGATGATGTCAGCATAAAAACTGGGTGGATTAAACTGATCGCAAGATGTCTGTGAACTGACGGTTGGATTTAGCAGCCAAAAAGATGCTAAGCAATTTTAGAGTATGTTGGCAAACTACTTCCAGGAAATAAGCAGAATACTAATGTCACATGAGATGAGACCTTGTGTATAATACTGTATAGAGCTCCAGTGATCCACATTTAACAACAATGAGCTCAAAACAGAAAGAAATGGGACAGAATGGAGCTGAGACTTTGATTTAGCAAAATGAAAGCTGAAAGGAGAAGCATTTTCTTTCCCCAGAAAGTGGTAGGCATGAGGGAGAATGAAAAGAGTTGTGTAATAAATGATATTGGCAGACAAATAAAACCTGAACTAGCTATTAGTACATTTTGACCAGAAGCTAGGTGTTTTCTAACTATGTAGTAATGAGGTTCTGCGAAATCTCTGCAAATTGCTTTTACTTGACAAATTCGTGTGTGGGATTCTGTGATACAATTGTTTACTTCAGTGGAAGACTGAATTCAGTGGTGCAAAAAGTCCACTCCTAAGATCCAGAGGTTTTGTTTCTTTAAGTCCATCCTAAGGTTAGATGTCAATTCCTGTTCAGAGATTCTCATGGTTTTGGTTCTAAACTGTTCACTATTTTACTCTTATTGTTCATTATTTATTTGCTTGGGTTTCTAAAGAGAGAGCACTGTGGAAACTGCAGTGGTTTAATAATTTAAGAGAAACAAGTTTTGTAGGTAGTTTGAACTCACTAGTATAGGTAACATCCAAGGAAGTGTGCCAAGTGTCTACATTGCTTGCAATCAGCTGTTTTTATTTCACATATGATGAGAGATTTGTGTGCCCTCAAATCCCTTTTCTCCATCTGTATTAGTCTAATGAAAGAAATTAACTCTTTTCTGCAAGAGTACCTTATACTTCAACATCCTTAGAAAGAAGATTCTCAATTCAGACTTAATTTTGCCTTTATGACAAGATAAAACTTTGGATAATCTACTTGATATATCTGCAAGATATTTTAGGGTGAGAGTAGGAGAAGAATCAGAGAGGAATCTAACAATCCTATTTAATGCCCCCTACAATACATTTTTGCTTTGTGCATATTTAAAATATGAAGAARCATTAACAGAAAACCTTGCAGTACTGAAAGATGCAATAGCTGCAGTACTGCCTCTGTCCAAGTCAGTAATGGGTGTGAGGATCCTGCTTCTTGGGCTACATTAAGCCCCACAATTCAGGTCCACCTAGCCTGGCAGCAGAGGCAGTTTGTCTTCCACCAAGCAGTTGTCAATAACAATCCAGGCCAGGCCCAGGATCTCCATGTACCATATGCCATTGCTGCGGGGGAGGTACTGTAAGTGGTAAAAAAGGTCACTCACAGTAAATACCTGCCATCTGCTTGGAAACTAACAGCCTCGTGGTGATAGGAGCAATTGGAAATATTCCCAMAGAGCACTAAATTGTTACTCAGAGCAGGTGATTTATTACTTTACAAGTCATTTAGTTAACTGGCTTTACGGAAGAGACCTGTTTCTGCTGGCAGTGATACTGCAAAGGAGAAGTAGAATGGCATGATCAATGAAGCAGGTATTCATCTTTTTCACTGAGAATCACAAGGGTTTTCTTTTGTTCTTTGTTTCTTGTTAATGTTACTGCACCCTTCCATTCATTGTAATGATAGTGTACCGCAGACCATTATTATTCCAGTAGCTTGATCCAGAAATAAATTGTTTCAAGGCTGGAAGAAGCTATCATAGAGGCTGTAACAGAAACTGCTGTGTTGCGATCACAGAGATGAATTTACTGGGTTAAGTGGTATTTCCTTTCTTTGGACTTCCAAAAAAAACCCAGAATACATTTAGGCCTAGAGAGGAAACCGTCAATCTTACCTGCTTTTACAGAACCGTTCTCAGATCAAGAATGACAATATCCTTTATTGAAACAGCGGGTGCCTCCCAGCTCCCTACATGCTGTGTTACAGTAGACAGAAGTCTGTGAGGAGGCAAAAGTCTGACTCAGGCAAGGCAGGAGGGTTACCTAGTGCTTGTGCTAATTTCAGCAAGGAATCCTACTTTTCAGACCTTGCCAAGACCACACATTTTCTTTATATATATATATATATATATACATATATATATAAACCTTTTCTAACCTACTTCCCCATCTGATGTGTATCACTGGTGTTAGAATGGTTTCTTTTGATATGCAGCTTTCCTACAGAAATGCAGTGATACTGTTAGTGTTGTTCACTTTTGCTGCACTGTCATGCAATTAATATAAAAGCAGAAACCAATTCTGACTCCATTGCASTGAGGGAACACGGGAGACCAGTCAGATTTTCCTCCTGTTAATTTCTGTTCACAGACAGCGATGCCTGTATTATCAGTGAAAATAAAAGCTAACAGCAGAAGAACAGTTGCATAGGAGAAACCCCAAAAGTAAAAAAGTGTGCTCCTCCCTATAAATGACGCAGGAATGGTATTGCTTTCCTTTATAAAAAAGCCACCTCTTAGWAAGGCATCCAAGAGAAACAAGATACATCTCCATTAGCAGTAAGTCTCAGTGAGAGGCTGGCATATTGAGAGGCCTCCCCGTGCAGGTAAAGGTTCAGTCAGAGAGGAATCAGATGGTTTTCGTAGGGATGGCTCTGCAGGTTCCCCAAGTATTTATTATCATCATGTGATGAACTGACGCACGGCTGCAGTAGAGCTAAAGACTTGGAAACTACAGAGCCTGTGAACAAGAGGGAGCCCTGCATCTGTATTGTCTCCTGCAATATAGTTTGGAGCTGTCCTGATTCATGAATGAAGCTCATGAAGCCCTTCTCAGTGGTGGCCAGTGATAGGACAAGGAGCAGTGGGTCTAAGTTGAAAGACAGGCAGTTCCAACTCCATGTGAGGAGGAACTTCTTTCCTGTGAGGGTGMCAGAGCCCTGGCACAGGCTGCCCAGGGAGGCTGTGGAGTCTCCTTCTCTGGAGATCTTCCAAACCCRCCTGGATGCCGCCCTGTGCCCCGTGCTCTGGGTGTCCCTGCTGGAGCAGGAGGTTGGACTGGATGATCCCTAGAGGCCCCTTCCAACCTCAGCCATGCTGTGATGCTATGAATCTGTTTTGCATTTTCCAACTAAATATTGGGCATGGTGATAGCCTGGAGGAAGCTTACCACTAAGATATAGGTAGAGCAAATAGAAAGCCTGACAAGTTTGCACTGTGAAATCTGAGCCTTTAGCTCAGATCTAGATCTATAGTAGAACTACAGATGTTGTGTGTGAAAACCTAYACTGTCTTTAAAAACCTTCATAGATGGAGAGGGAAGAGTGCACACAGAAAATAGTGGTGTTTGCCTGTATGTTGTTGAAAAACCAATCTATCTCAAAAATAAGGCAAGCATGATATAAATAGCATGTGTGTGTTTTAAAGGCTACTGTCAGCCTGACTTTCCTGGTAAGAAATGGAGTAGCAGAAAATTTCACATTCAAAATCAACTATATCACTTCAATGCATCCAGTAGTCATAGGAAGATGGAGTATTTATTGATAATGCCAAACAAAACATTTTCTATTGTATTGTCTTTTTGTCATGTCATTCATGACTCTTGATCACTTTGCATATTCTGGCTTCTTATGGCATCGTTAATATTAGATTTGTGGAGTTTTAATTATGCATGTAAGTCTGTAAGGGATTATCAGCATTATCAGTGTTCAGTGATCAGTATAAAGCAATCAGTTCTTTGGATTGGAAAAGATAATTTAACGAGCACATTGCAATTATTATAGTCTTTACATTATTTTCCATGCTCACACCCTTGTAAAAGTAGATTTTATAATGTATTATAGTCTCTATTATTTCTATATTTATGTCATTGTAAAAGTAGATTCCAAAATGTAAAGATGTTAAAAACAGGATCTCAAATAATCTATTAAAATACTATAGGCAATATTACCATGSTTAAATGTATTATATCCATTCCAAATTTTCTTGTGGCAATACCCTGAAAATACTTACATGTATACATGTAAGTGACTAACAAACACATGGCTATTGGACAATAAATGCCTCTTCTAATTATATTCTTTGCAGAAATCTATCTTTGCTTAGACACAAAGGTTTTCTCTTGAAAGAAACTGAAATGGGGAAACCTGGAAGGCTACTAAGTGGAGGAAAGGTTAAATAATATTTTAACAGTCATTTATGGAAAGCAATTCCTCAAGTTACCTACAGCCTTTTATACAGAAATTCAGATATGGAAACAGTWTCTGAAGCTAACTATGGCATGCCCCATTCGGTCTTATACCTCTAGTGTAACTCCAAAAGTAATTATTATACTGCAAAGTCTTATAGTAGATGCTTATACATTTCAAGATTAATTTGCCCAGTTTTAAATGTCCATASAAATGAATTATGCCAATAAATATGGCATTTAAGGGTCAAATATGCCCATGAAAAAGAATTGCTGCTTTGTTTTGTGAATTTTCCAACTGCTCTTTAGTTATCTTTATTTTTATTATTCTAAACAGCCCTTAGACCTATACTGTTTCCCTAAACAGCAATTAGATCAATACTAAGTGGATCTAGTCTGAGATAAGCTTAGTACAGATCATGTTATTGTACTAAAGACCTTTTAACTGAAATAACTGAATATGATGACAGACATTTTAAAAGCTAGCCTAATTTTGAAAATCTAAGTTTAAAAATCATACGTTATATATTTACTCTGTTTTTAATTTTTCCACTGTGATTTTTTTTTCTTCAATGCAGATGGGCCTTACGGACTCCGAGTTAAATCAGATAAAGGTCTGAAGGTAGGGGCAGTGTTTACAGTTGACATAGGGGAAGCTGTACTGTTTGACTGCTCAGCAGACTCAAATCCACCAAATACTTATTCGTGGATTCAGAGGGCTGACAATACCACCCATGTCATCAAATACGGACCCTATCTGGAAGTGACATCTGATAAAGTGGCCCAGAGGACACTAGATTACATGTGCTGTGCGTTCAACAACGTGACTGGAAAACGAGACGAAGCTCACTTCACTGTGATCGTTACCTCTGWAGGTAAGAATGTTAATTAATTGTCAAGCAAATGCAGCATTTGAGCRTAGTGTCGACTCCAGAAAGAGGAAGTATTTTTATGGAATTTATTACAGAATTATGAGAACTGAGTACTGATGACAAAAAAAGTAAAAGGGATTTGGATCATTCACATACCGTGTGAGTGTCATGGCTAAGATGTTAGAGTTTTGTGGGAATTGGGCACTCTAGCATGTTTGGCCATTTGGAGATTTATCCCTTGGGCAGAAATACCTTGTCAATACCCAAACCTCATCAGGACCAGTTAACACAGCAGATTATATATTTCTTACTCTTTTTTTTTTTCCTACTCTCTGCCTTTAAAAATCATAAATGGAGAGTATAATGCAGAAATCTGTTGMATGCTAAGTTAGTTACACTTCTCCTACCATGGGCAGATTTTGTCCCTGTCTCCTTCCTAGGAACAGGGAGTCCTGGGGCTCCTAGGTGAGCAATACATGGGATAGCTTCAAGCACACATCACTGACCAAAGCAATCGGGCAGAGACCAACAGCAACAAGGGTCCTTTAATACTTTGTCAGTGTGATTAGCAATGATAAGAATCTTAGTTTAGTGTGTGATAATAATACAGGTTGTATTTGCAGTGCTGCTGAATGGTTTTATTACAATATGCATGGAAACACTTTAAATTTTTAGAATCTGAGTTTACTGCTAAATCTGGCTAAATCCATGTCTCCTTTATTTCCCAAACATTGTAAGTTAAGTTCCTGCAGCAGATTGTGCCTGTATTAAATAGCAACAAAGCATTATTTTTTAAAAAAAATCTCCAAGAAAAACGCATAGTAATCTTGAAAATCTCCAAGAAAAACGCACAGGATCTTGACAAAGTCTAAGGATCATTAAGGATCAATAGACGTATTTTCAGATAAGGAACGTACACTACCGATGTGCAACCAGATCTGATCCACTGCCTGTTGGGAAATTAAACCAAGCAGTTTTGCTTGTTCAGAACAAAGCGCTGGCCATTCGTTAGTGAGATAAACAAGGAGAGCAGATGGCCATTGTTCGAGCCCACTTACGTAACCACCGCAAATCCAGGGCCTTAGATGCCCTGGCAGGACACCGGGTGATAGTTTTACAGTGAGAATTCTGCACTTTAAAACTAAACCCTGCAGTTGGTGCAGAAAGCAAACACACAGAGAGCTGCTGTGTGCCCTTAGAAATGAAAACGTTGCTTCTGCTGGTAGTTAACATAAGTTATGATTTGAATGTGGATATGCCTCAGTACAGTCAAAGTAATATATTAATCTGATTTCCTTTCAAAACCCTATTTGTAATCCATGGCTTTGTATTTTCAGAAATATATATTTCCTAATTAAAAATATTTAACCTAAATACAGCTTTTTAGAACCATGTTGTGTATTTTAGGCCAAAAAGTGTGTAAGACTTGCTGAAAAAACTGCAATTCAAGGTATCTCAGCAGAAAGTCTGAGCAAAGGAAAGAAATAGTGTGAATATATTTTGACCTGAATACACATGAACATAATTTATCAACATATGATGGGATTTTAGCAACAACCAGACTGTCAGAGGTCTGAAAATCTTTAGGAAAAAAATGCAATAGATCAGTTATCCCTTCCTTCCATGCAGCTGTTACAGCTAGCCAGATTTCTCTCCCATCTAGCACAAACTGCTCAAAAGATGTATGAATATCGATGTGTTTCAAATAAACCTAGCAGGAAAGGGACCTGCATGCAGCTGTGCATACAACAGGGCTGCGTTCGTTTTAGGAGCTACAAACACWGTTGTCTTAACCTCTATTCCTGTGAGCAGCCACTGGAGGGTGCAGTCTTCAGCCTTCCCCTAGCTATAAATAGTGCATTAACAGAAAGTGGAATGGATCAACCTAGAAAGTGGGATAAAACATCCAGTCCGGACTATTACAATTATAATTCCACTGGTTTCTTCTTCGTCTCCAAGTTCGCCCCCCTCACCTAACCTCCCCTTAAAAATAAATAAATAAATAARTAARTAAGTAAATAAATAAATAAATAAAATGTTGTTTTCAGCCTAGAAAATATTTGCTTGATGACTGTGATTATAATTCTTCATTATATCAGCAAACCTAACAACCAAACACAGGGCAAGGAAGAATCACTTCTTTTATATTTAGCCTGTTGCGTTGTGTCTCCAGCAGCCCCAGAGAGAGAAGGGAGCATCTACTGGCTGAAGATCAGCTATTCTATCAAGGAGGAAAACACAGTGCCCACAATAGCACGCCACAGCTCCAGGGCCACACTGAAACCATGCTCATCTTTGTGGGTTACCCTATCTCAGCAACTCCTTCCCAGCTAGATCCAAGCTGAAAACAAAATCACTGCTCAATTTTCTAATGAGAAATTAATGGCAGAGTAAACCAGACAAAAAGACGTCATACATTGACACTTAACAGGCCAAAATCCTAGTGAAAAACGAGCTAGGTTGATAGGTAGTTGTGGTTTTGGTGCTGTGGCTGAAATGAGAAGGCCTTGTTCGTCTGTTCACTRGCCATTCTGATGCTCAGATCTTGGGAAATGTTTTGAAAAATAGAAAGATTTCAGCTACTAAATAACATCCTGTGTTTCATCTACACCAAGAGTCAATGGATGTAGATCCYGCAGCAACCGGGCATCAGTAACTGAAATAAAGAAACCACCACTCTACGTACTGAACTTGGGCATACAGGTTTTTATCCTTAAMCTAACTCACCAGTTACCATTTAGACAGCAGAAGAATATGTCTAGGCTGATGATCTGAAATAATTTTAAACAGCTTTTTCATATACCGTGTTATGACCAAAACAATTTGACTTGTTTTGGGTTTGTTTGCTTGCTTGCTTTTTAGAACTTAGTTGTAAGAAGAAGAAAATTTTGGTTCACCTCATGAATTCTTGACATGTCTCAACCTCAGGAAGATAGGCACAATGGAACTCCATATACTCTAATGATAACCTGTCTAAAAATGACTTGTAGATCCCACAGTATCTCTAATCCTAGTTCTACTGAGCACCCTATTTAGGCTTTGTTAGCTGCTTTTGGTGAAATAAAGTTTCCATGCCTAAGACTAGAATATTCATCTACYTTTCTGATGCTGTAAGATTAAGTTAGTAACTCTTGGGTTGTCTTTACTGCCCTTTATATAGCTTCAGGCACTCATCTCTTTCAGGCTCCTCTCTAAAACATGCATCATTATTTTTTSAGATTAAGGGTTTTGTAGGAAAAAAAATTACCAATTCAAAACAACCAAAATTGTAGATTTTTTTAAATAAATATACAGTATAGAGTGTATATATATATGATATATAGGTATATAGTATGCAGTTTTTACTAGCTTCAAATGAATTTCAAGATTCATTTTTTCTGTGTCATAATAGCTCATTATACAGAGCAGGAGATTAAATGTGGTACTTCTCTTTAACACAGGATTRGAGAAGCTGGCCCAGAAAGGAAAATCTTTGTCATCTCTTGCAGTAATAACTGGAATTTCATTACTTTTGATCCTAGTTATGGCCTTTCTATTCATATGGAAAAGATATCAGCCATATAAAGGTATGTAAAGGATAAGCRCCCTCCAGTTATTCTTTTGTAGTGTTAGAACAAAAAGAATGATTTTCTTTATCCTTTTGTTTCAGTGATACAACAGAAGCTGCACAGCAGGTATGAAAATAAATCATTTRTAGGTCCTGAAGTTCTTTCCACCAAAAGAATTACTTTTTTTCAGTATTAATTTCCTTTCCTTCACCAYTGACATCAATCTGAATATCATGCTTATGTTTTCCAGGCCAGAGACTGATTACAGAAAGGCACAAACATATGCAGGTAATTCTTATGAACGATATGTGAATATAAGGTCAAATTCCACTTCTGCAAAAGTGAGCATCTCTGGATATGGAAAGAAAGGAGGAAAGGAAGGGAGGTGTGTTTTGAACTCATGTTGTAAACCCCTGTGTTAGCTGACTTAAAGCCAAAACGATGGTAAGTCTGAGGTGTTGAAGCCAGCCAAGCACTGTGCAGACCAGCCGTGCAGCTGCCCAGCCTTCTTCCAAGGCAGAGACAGCTTAGGTTCTCGGCAGGGGAATGGCTAAACACAGATCAGGAAAATTATCATCAGATATTTAAAAATCAGGCCAAATTCTTTTGCCCATCCATACTTAAGCTGTCTTTTCTGGATTCATATTACATGTTGATACATCTTTTAATATTTTGTTTGTTTTAACTTTAGGGCATGAAAGTGCTTCAGATGACTTTGGAATATACGAATTTGTTGCTATTCCTGATCTTGCTGGTGGATCTAGGGTATGTGGAACTTGTAGTTTCTTTTTTATTCTTTAAAGAGTATTTAGTATCTCTATTAAAATCCTTTTATTTTTTCAGTTTGTTCTTGTTGCTCTTTAGAAGTATTTATGTAGCACCATAGTCATCACTAGTGTTTACTCAATACTTACTCTTCCAACTTATATCTCAATTAAATATTCCTTCCTTGTCCTGTGATACTTAAATATAGGTTACTTGCTATAAAAAAATGCAAGACCTTCATCCTAAATCTTTTAGGATACTAATTGAATTTAAGTATATTTCTCACCTTACTGTAAATAGGATGAAAACTTCTCCCCTAAAGTGAAATGTAAACCACTAGAGATGAACTGTTAAGTCCACACACAAAAAAAAAAAAAAAAATGCTGATGCAGAAGAGAAGATCTGTGGTTAAAAAAATGAGAAGTTCCACTATCATTTTTTTTTTCTGTTGAATATTTTCCTGCTAGTAATTATAGAAGAAATGCTGTTTTCTACTTTTAGGTTTCAAGTCAGACTGTTCCTGGCTCTGACTTCATCTCAGGCCAGGATATGCTTAGTACAGTTTATGAAGTTATTGAGCATATTCCTGAGCAGCAGCAGCAAGTGCACTAACAGTAAGTTAAAGACTGTGTAAACTCATGTGGTAACTCAAAGACAAATCCTCCTGGGTAAGACAGAACTCAAGTTACATTTTGGCAGCTGATACCTGATTCCAAGAGGGTGGATAAGTGAAGGATACACCAATACCTCAGCAGTTCCCCCTGGGCAGTTTAAATCCTCCACCCAAACCTGCTAGCCATGTGCCAAGTAAAGCTAGGGGTTGTTTTTCTTACAGTGATGAAACAGTGTTGAAGCTGATCAATAACCAGTAGTGGCATTCAATGATCAGTGAACTATTAGCAGACAATACTTGGTTATCTTATTAATCGATATAGTAAGTTGGATCTTAACTAGTGACTTTGAGCTAAAGAGTCTTTGTTTCAATCATATTCATCTGCAATACCCTATATTGAAGCACCATGAAAATACTTTTGCTAAATTAAATACCAGACAGACAGCAATGTTTTGCTTATACCATTAGGGGTTGCTAGTTGTGTTTGCATTTAAATCACCTACTTCCTAGCACCTCTTGGCAAAACGAAGTGAGTATCTTACAAACATTTTTGTAGTTGCAATATAGCTGTCATAAATCTGTTCTGAACACCAACAGCATACAAGACTTCATTTAGTACCAAACCTATTATATCACATTTTCTGTGTTTTTTAGTGTGGGTGTTTCTTTTGTAGTTGAAAAGGAAAGCTTGTATGAATATACTAATCAACTGGCTGAGTAATCACAATGTTTATGTGACTGAATTAGCATGCAGTACTTACTACTACTAAAAATTTTATGTATATTACACCTTCAATTCTGTGTCCAAATTATGTATGCAAGCATACTTGTAAAAGCAAACTGAATAGTGGGAAATAATAATGAATTCCCAATGATATTTTTGTTTTGCTGAGAGTTACTGTGTTTGTTACCTAAATATGAATCTTTAAAGCATATAAAAAATAACATTCATAATGTGCATTTTCTTATTGCTTGTCCTCTTATATGTCTCCCATTTCAGCTTTCCAGCTGACATATGACCTCACTAAGAAAAGAGTAAGTTTGAAGTAGAGGTAACATGAGCTTTGTGGAAGTTCGGTTTTCAGCCCAGACTTTACAAAACTTATTTTCTCTGTAGTTGTAACTGATGCAACTGCTTTATGTCATAAACAGTAATGTGCATAGTTGGCCTGCAYCACCACAATTCTGATACTTTCTTCATATAACAAGATTTAAATAAAGAAATACAGAGACATCATTTTTCACTGACGAAACTAGGATGAAACTGTCCTAAACATCGTGATGAATTAACTAGTCAGATCAGAAATACTGTTTTCATCATTTTTCCAGTTCCTGACCTGCAGCAGAAGAACATCTGTACTGAATAAATAAGAACAATTAAGTCAGCATTTGTATTTGTGTGTGGATGCTTCCACATTCAATATAAGGAAATGACAAAATATCACAAAACAGGGAATGTAGCTAAGCAAGTATTTATAAACTCCTGTAGTGCAAAGTAATAACTGTTTGTAAATGAATCCCGTAGGGGTGATATGTAGCTCTGCATAGAGTCACATGTAGCGATGCTGTTGGGTGAGTGACACAAAAATTGCCACCATTCTGCTTAAGATAGGAATTTCTCTCTGTGAGAATCAGTCAGAGAAGTATCTGGATGAAGTGACCATTTTGCTCATATTCCTAGTGGTTCTGACTGCAACTGCTGTGTTTTCATAAATTTACTACAATTAATACACAAACAAAAAAAAAAAAACAAAAAAATGCAGCATAGTTTAATGCCCAGATATAGCGTCTGAGATCCTTTCAAAACTTCTGCAGTGTTAGCTGACATTCKGTCTCTTGGTATTAGAAATCACACTGAGAGCACTGGCAAATTCTCTGGATAGTTGGTGCCTAACACTTTGGCTACAAAATACAYGGATATCAAAGTTCATTTGGGGATAGTTTTCCTAGCCTTGTTCTTATATTCTTATCAGCATTTTCATCCACCCACATATGTATATACTTCTAACTCCCTAAATGATTTTAAAAAGTTGAGGGTGATGATCTCTTTTGCTTCCAATGWAGATCAATTTTACAACATGTCCCTTTCCTCTTATACATACTGTTTTGCTCAGATCAAGCATTGCCATTTGACAAGTTTCTGTTGTGTCAACACTGTGATGAGGATCCATCCTTTCCCAGGCATTTCAGCACTGGATTTATACTGTATAATACCCAGCTATCATTGTTAGTGTGCATTAACAGGTGCTCAAATGCACTTTTCTTGATAATTGTATATATTGTACAAATAACTTATATGTAAAATGTATTGCAGATATATTCACAGAATTTTCATTCTTGTTAAAGAACTGTTACTTTTGTTTTTAGAAACTATTTATTTGTATATTTGCTACAGTGCTTTTAATGCAGCATTGCAGACAACAGTTATCAATTCTGTTCTTTCCTAGGTATATATGAAGACACAGAAACAGGAAACTACAGCATCTGAAAATCCCAAATTTGATTTCCTTTTCTCTGTTATATATTGAAAGGAAATACCAACAGCTCTACAAATGGCAAAGACATAGTCCAGCATTTTTTGAAATAGCAACTTATTGTCAGTTTTTCCCAATTACCTATCCTTTTTTGGGAAAGCATATGCTTAATTAATATCTTCTTAAAAATTTTTTTTCATTCTTTGTATTTTTTCCCCATTCTTGGGTATAAAAACACTTCAAAATTACAATATAACACTTGTATTTTTATTATAATGTTTTATTATAATGTCAAATATTATAATGATGAGAGAAATATGAAGAAATCGGGCCCAAGATGCCTCCCATGCTTACCTCATATAAAAAATATGCACACAGGATTTTTATAAGAGATGCCGTTCATCTTGGCAAGCAAAGTAATAAATGCAATATGTTGGACTGCAAAACACATTTGAGGATTAAAGTAAAATCAATATTTTAACTTTTTTAAAGTAACATTGCTTTTAATTTACCAATTCATAAACTAATCTGTCAGGCAGTTCCAGTTTAAAAATGTACATATGTATAGTATTCAAAACATTTGTATTAAATTGTCCTTTCTTTGCAYTTGAACTGCATTTTATACTTGTTGCTACTAAGACCGTTTTTCYATGACTAGAAGAGCAAATAATATATGGATAATCTCTGCAAGCTACAAAAGGTTTAGACTCTCTATGCATTCAAGATCATAATTCTCCAGTTTCAATGAAACCAACCTTAATGTCTTTAAACAGATGGGATGCTACAAGTTCCTTCATAAATGTAGTAACCCTCTTCCAGGACATGCTGTTGGTATCTAAATCCTGCAGGGAAATGTAATATTATTTCCACAGAGTCAGCTGTTAGATGGCTTCGGTGAGCTTCAGCCAGGGAAAAGAGAGTTTTGAGTTGAGTACACAAAAGAAAAAAAAAAAACTTTATTGAAAGCTAATTGTGCAGGAGATCATTTGGCTGAGATGCATGTTCCACTAGCTGGACTGAATGGCAAGTGATGAGAAAGCAAAGAGCATGGTTATCCATGCTTTATGACAGCTGGTATGGGATAGTTTAAAGCATCCTAAATGAGGAAAATCCTAAATCCTAAAGCATCCTAAATGAGGAAAAAAATACATTTAAAGTGCTTCCCTAATCTGTATTTGCTAAACATTCTTCCCATTATTTGAAGAAGAGAAAAAAATAACATTTCTCTCTGTAAATATTCTCATCTCTTGATCTGGAAAGGAAGGAAAAGGGGCAGATTCACCTTTCCATTGAAGGCAAAGAGCCTTCAGCACTTTGCAGCAACGGCTGGTGCTTCCCAGATTCCAGAGAAGCACTGAGGGGATCTCTGAGCTAATGTGGCCTCCAGATTCATTCCCTCAGAAATAACCCTCTGACATGAAGGTGTCAGGCAGAGGCTGAGAAGTAGAAACATTTGTAGAGAGCTCTTTGAAGTGCTGAGGTTGCCTGAAGGACYAGGAAGCCAAGCTGGCCACCCCCACACGTGCCTCCACTTCCACCCAAAGCTGACTTCATCTGTGCTTCAAATCAGACAGACCTTTGCAATGTGCAAACTCCTTCAATTTCCCATTCTCCTTCCTCTTCTTGCTGGATTGGATGGAATATTTTAATTGCCTTAAAATCATCATACAGATTTCTGACATGCTGGTCACCTGTACAGCTTGCAACCTTTTGAAATCCCTSTGGGAACACAGGGCAAAAAATGCATTTTTTTTTTTAATAGCAAAACAGTGTTATTAGTTCTGGAGCCTCTGTATTTAAATTGCCAGAGGTGCAAATTGCTTCACCTACTTTCCTGACAAACAAGAACAGAGCAGCTCAGTATCAGTTCCATTCTTCCTTCTTAAAAGTTGACCTCAGCCACGTTTGGCCTCTGTCTGTGTGTTGCAAGGCTCCCAATGCATTTGGTTTCAGAATCTATACTCTTATGTCCTTTCATTACAGATCAGCACACCATTTTCAGTTAAGCTCTGCAAATAAATTGATGCTTTTTCACAAGATTAGAGAGCAAACACAGGCCAGCTGCCTTCTTGTATTATATTGTTCTCTTTTTTTTTTCTTTTGTTTCCCTTGTCTTGTGTGCTACTGCCTCTTCAACAAAAGCACACTGCTAGTTCCAGTTCYTGTTGGAACTGTGTTTTTTTTTCTTTACTATTCCATTGCAATTCACACAGTGCAACTGGCTGCTTTTGGTGCAGATACCAAATAGCTGCAAAAATAATAAGCTATGGTGAAATTTTAATGAATGAAAAAGAAAATACCTTCATACTGCATTTTGGACTTTTTCTAATATGTATGATCACATTCAAAACAGATTGTTAAGCTTTTATTTATTGCTGTAAGATCTACCCCAAAGCCTACTAAAGCCGAAGGGAATCTTGTCCATGAACCTGCCTGGACTATGTGGTTCTGAACTTTGAAAAGAAAAGAGCTCACTGCTTTATAATCTCACATAAATTCACATAGATTGATCTTAAAGCAACTAAAATCTTTTCTTTTTCCAGTCAAGTGAGATCATACTTCTTCTGTGGGCTTTCTTCAGTGTCAGTATAACTTCATTTGAGATCAGTCCCCATACTACTAGAGAAATGGACCTTGCTGTATAGATGCACCTGTACCCTATAGCCCTGCTGCAGCTAGAGAGCAATTGACTTTGCACAGAAGGAGGTTCCGGGCACAGAGAGAAACAGAAAGAGAAGGCAGCCAATATTAGCAAACACGTTAACAACTTCTGACAGAAATGGGAACTGAGCACATCTCAAATTGCATCATAACCTGGCATGTAAGTAAGGGTTGATTCTTCTGCATCATGTCAGAAGCTTTCTGATTTATCACGGCTAGTTTCTCGGTAGCTAAATGGCTGCAGCACACTAAGGATTTTTTTTTAATGCTACTGCGTTAGAATCATCTTGAGTCATGTTGTCTTTTCCATTCATATTCTCTATTTACGTATGAACAACTGCAAAATATTGTTTATACGCATGTGAAGAACATGAGACAAGGTGGAGGATCTGATCTTTATCACAGTTTAACAGTCTGTGTTAGTCTCTAAAGAAGTGTTTGCACAAGAAATAGTTCTTCACAAGGTTGCGCAGTATATGAAGCAAGCCCAAGTAGTGTAGAGGAGAAACCTACTTCCYTGCAGCCCTTCCATGGAAGTTGCTTTCCAGGCAGAAATAAGAGGGCAGTGAAAGATTTCCAAAACTACAGATGGATATAACAGGGTCACACTGCAAGCAATGAAACTGCTGCACCTTTGGGATGGAAAGTGATGGTTTTCGGGGTCAGTTCTAAGATCCTCAGAAAAGAAGCAGACAGTCATTTCTTCACAAGGATCTGTAGTAAATAAACAATAGGCAACGAGTCTAGAAGGCCAATAAAGAATTAAACATGTTGAGAGTCCCCTCAAGAAAAATTTTACACCAGGGTTCAGTTCGCTATGCAATGCAAACACACAAGTGTTGATGGAAATCCCGCTCCACCTGAAAACATAATAACATCTCTTGTGACTGTGTGCTGAGCTCCAGGGCGAAGTGCAAAGCTTCAGGTCACCATGGGTCTGATAACTCAAGTGCAATTTCATCTAGAAATACAGGTCAGACCTTCTGAACTGTAGCACTTAAGTACAATAGCACACCCCGCTAAAAGACATGTTCTTATTTAGAAAAGTACTTCTAGGGTCAACACTGAGAGTGTTTTCATCATGGTGTATTTTTTATGTTTCTTGCAGTTATAAACACTATCTTCTATACTCTTTTCTCTGATTTTTAAGTCAAAAGCAACCTAAGAGAAGACCAAAACTGTGTTGGAATCATTCCAGTGTTTTCCTTGGTTACACTCTCCTGTTAATTTCACCTTGCTGATTTTGACATTTTACAGACCATATTCAATTCTAGCCCTGTTTTTCAAACATTTTCCAAATCCTTTAAGCCTGTCCTCTCTTTAAGCCTGTCCCAACCACAGGCTGTGTTTAAAAGTATAGCACTCATATATATATTCAGATAGTGCAGATCATGATTCTAAACAGAAGGCGAAGGCCATTTTCTGCAGGATTSCACTTGAAATTCCTTTCAAGTGTGTTAGAAAGATACAAACAACAAAAGCCTGTGAAAAGCAACATAAGTTGGACAAAGAAAARAGTTTAGAAAGCCTGACTGAGCAAGGAAGGTTAAGAAAATGCATTTATTTTATCCTGGGGAGGAAAACGAGCAATATATTATAAAATTAGTCTTACAGCATGTAGAACAAGTTCTCTTAGTAAAAGGGACAGTGCTATTTTTTTTACACCTCCAAAAAACGTAGGACAAAGAAAGACCTGCCAAAAATTTATGTTAGATAATATGAAATAGTCTACGTAGGGATTTATACTCTATGTCTCACTGGAGCTTTTCAGAAGGAAGGTAGAAAAATGCCCTCCTGTAACAGGTTGAGTAGACTGGATCCTGCCTCTAGGAGAGCTGCACAATTGGCCATTGAGCCACCTGCCAGCCGGGCTTTCTCCAGGTGTCTGACTCCATAAGTGCCTCAGATATTGGTTTGCAGTGTTGGCCTCTCAGGGACAGCCAACATGGGTTGGAGTGTAACCCCTCCAGGATCCTGCTACCAACAGCCAAACTAGCTAATCCAGATAGGACTGAACAGCCTAAAGACACTGCAGCCCTTCACAAAATGTTACTGGGCATGAGCATGCAGACAGACATCGCTCCCCATCCTCTTRCTGCAAAACAAGGGTCCACAGACTGCTGTCTGTCAACCCTGCCTACCTAGGAAACCAGAAACAAAAAAAAAACCGTCTTTGCCCCCAAGTCTGTAAATCAAGAATATAATATACTCGGGTGTTTCTCTGGGAGAAACATGAGTAAGGATTATAATGTGTCACTGTTACATAAAACAAAAGCCATAACAAGCAGGAAAATACCTGGAAAGAGGTACTACGCATCCTGGACCAGCTCACCACATATTCATGCACTGCGAGACAAGAGGCCAGATCTTGGGGAAGGATGATACTGCTGCAAACCCAACTCCAGTCAACCTAAAAGGCTGGGGAATRTCATTTTGAGAGTCATCTGTTAAACACTGCTCCAGGAAAGGAATGATTGCAAAGTCAGCCCATACAACTGCAGTTTCAGGAAATCCAGTACAGCACAATTAGGAAGCTGCCAACAAACTGAGGAAACGAAACTAGCACCCACAGCTAAGGAATYGGACCGAAAGAGCAAAAGGAGCACAACTGCTTTCGACGTGAGCACTAAAACTGTGTAAATACAGGCTGCTCCCTTAGGCTGTGGTTTCATCAGTGCTCACCTGAATGACATCGGTTGTGAGTCACACTCCAAAGATTAATTCGACTGACTGATTAACCACGGCTAATGGGGAAATGGCCTACACCAACCTGCTTACTGCTCCTAAAAATCTAGCAGGTCCCGCTGTCTCTGGTCCAGTTGCTAAGACCTGTTCCCAGAGAAAAGGATTGGTTGCCGTTCACTAAACATTCTTCATTCAACAGCCAAAAATTTAAGGAAATACCAGAGTATGTATCTTATGTAAACCTATGGTTGAAGGCAGAAAGTCTTTACGTGTCCTCCTCTTCAAAAGCTGATAATGCTGAATCACACAAGAGAAACAAATTCACCAGTAATGGACACTTGGGATTCTTCCTCCTTTCATAATTTTTTCATAATTTTTTAATAGGCTCTTTTTTTTTTTTTTTTTTTTTTAAAAGAAATAGAATTTCCATAGGAATTTGAAAATAAGGGGCCATGCTAGAAAAAAAAATGAACTGAGGAACTTCAAAACTCTCTTGAAAACAGTCTCTTGGGAAAAGCATGTTTCTTTGCAATAAAATGGTAGTAAGTTAGGTGCAAGCAGTATGCTATACACTCACGTAACAGCAGTTAGAGGGCCATCAAATACTGATAAACTAATTCTGTAGATTTTTATGTTATAACTGGGAGGCACAAAAAGAAAGAAGGCAGAATTAATCAGCAAATATTTTAGGAGACCACCGCAGAAAGCAAAATGATGAAAAAAAATATAGGAAACATTAGATTCTTGATCATGTTTGCCCCAACTTTGAAAAAATCCCTACTTCCTATTTCACTCTTTATGAATACAGTTTTGAAACTGTGTTACCGTACAGCACATTGAGATGTAACACAGTGATCTGTAAACCCTGCTTTGGTCATTGCAGGATTCTACTTAATAAAATTGATAGGAACTATGACCAACCAATAACGCCTGTCATGCAAAAAGGATCAGAGGAGAYGGGCAAAGGGTGAGGTGCCCATGAAGCTCAGGAATCAYGTAGGAGGTAATTCAYGTATCATATTTGTAGTAGAGAGGCCTAATTKTATCTCAAAACCCAGGGCACGAGAGGAAGACCTTCATGTTAGATAAGCAGATGTATCTGTTGAGTGAACTAACTTGTATAAGTTTTACGAGTTGCTGTGTACAGCAACAGTTGCTGTGGCTAAACAGCTCAACTTTCCCATTGCTTGGATTCTTCTAGATGAGAAGGGACCGAGTGCCTCAGCRTGCACACACCTCTAAAAGGAGCTACCTTTACTGGTCCCTCGGGAGGCAGGTTATGTCAGTAATAACAACTGCCATCTGCCCCAACAAGCAGTCACTGTCCCCCAAGTAAAAGGGAGCTGGATTTGAGCCATCCACATTGCTCAAAGTCAGCAACCTCTAAAGCAGCCTGCCAGCTACTGCGTCTCATGGCACTTGGGGTGTTCTCARTCCCTGGTGCTGAGTCAAAGATCGTATTCTTTTATATATGGTTTTTTCAGATCAAAGGGCTTAAAAAGGGTGTGAGATGCATTATAGCAAGGTGATGTTTTTATTACATCACAACAATTATTAGTTTGCATCCATTAAGGTAATCATGAGACTTTTGGAAAAGGGCAGTGGTTGAGCATGCAGTCACACAGTGAATTTTTTTCCCAGAAGAAGAAGAATGCAGCAGAGGAAAAGTGTAGTGCCAGAACTTAAGAAATATGTGTAACTTGAATGCACACATACATGTATGAATAGAAAATGGAAAGACAGTAGTATTATCACCAACATAACAGAAAGAGATGCTRGCTTCTCCACAGCTGGCCCTGTGGTAGCTGGAGATGCTCTTTGCTTTCTCAAACCACTCACTGGCCTAAGGCTTTAAGCAGGCGAGCATTTTATAACAAAAGATCATCTTACGGTACCGTGGTRACCCAATCTAGTTCTTCTCAGAGCAGATATCATCCGAAGGATTTGCAAGCTCTGCAACTGTGAGATCACACACACAACATAAATCTTAGGGCAAGCACTCTTGCTGCCAGCCTTCTCAGCAATTAAAATGTAAGGACTGACATTGTCTTCCTTAGATCCCAGCTGTTTATCATGGCCCACCAAGTCAGTCAAGGGCAATGAATGGAAAAACAGGGTAGTGACAAYGGTCAGGGAAGAAGGTACTACAAGACTCGTGATAGCACCATGAAACTTSGATGGGAAACAGAAGTGAGCAATACAAGGCCACTTCTTGCACTAAGCTTGTTCAGATAGTGTTGGAGGATTATACAAGGTGCCATACAARCACATTGCCTGAAGGAAAATTTCTCTGGAGTAAGCTACCAAAGAACTGGACCTCAGCTCCACTTCTAATGCAACCCCCTGTATGCTCCAGAGAAGGAGCTCAGCAACGGAGCAACACACGTGCAGTGTGGAAAAGCAAGCAACGAAGACCTAACAGCGGGTTAGCAAGGCTGGTTATTCCACAGTGCCTGTACTGTGTCACTTCCACATTTCCCAGAAGCGTCTGCTCTATTCTTCCCTTTTTTTCCCTTGCATTCCTGGAAAGTTCTGCTGAGTTCAGCTCACCTGGCTGAATATTTGCACAGTGTTAGATCTAAGGATTGCTCAGAGGGTGCTGTGTAGCCTCCCAGGTTTCTAGGTAGTAGTTTTATGTTTTAATAACATAAACCCTTTATGTTATTGTTATTAAGTGATTTAATAAAGGTGCTCTACAAAATAAATCTTTAATGAAATTCCTCGAAAATGATGGTGGTTCCACAGTTAGGACCAAGCAGAGTAGACACAACACTTACACCACACTTCATTCTTACACAATACACAGTGGCTTATAAAAAACTGAAGCCAATGGGGATGAGGGAAGCAGGGTGCTCCCAAAAAAACCCRTCTATTTCATCCTCCCTTCTGCGCACTCAACCTCTGATGCACCCAGTCCAGCATGGGCATCCTAGACCCAGCGCTGGAAGCGCAGGGTGGGAGCACACCAGGAAAACGTWGGGACAAAGCGCATATTCTCTAGCAGGAGTTATTTTTCCTTTCCCCTCRTGATGGTTTTTGCCATTGGGGAAAGCGTGATCACCTGACCAGAGATGCACCCTCCCTCCCACTTTTGCTTTTTTGCCGCTCAGACTTCTGTGGGAAGTTAGTTTATAAACTAACTTCACCTTCTTTTCATGGCTCAGGAGAGGAATTCAGCCCAGTTTTAGCTGCTSTGCTTCCCGTTTGAGCAAAGCACACTGATTGAGCCCCTACAGGGAAAAAGCCTGCAGAGCAGAGGAGTCCTGGTAAGTACATGTATCTTTACTGAGGGGAGGGATAATTTGTGAAGAACTGGTGGCTTAATCTGATAACATTTCTTTTTCTCTGAGACATTAATTGCATATAGGAGATGATCTGTAACCTACTAAAACAAACTCCTCTCATAATTCATGTCTTTTGTTAAACTTCTGCACATGGGAGGTGCCTATTAAAAGATTACAGTGAAATAATGCCAAGGCATGTACTCTCATTCAGCATTATTCTGCAGTAATAATTTGTGATGGAATTACTTTGTTCAGAAGACAGAATCTTTACAATATTTCCGATGGCCAGAATGGATATCTAGCCAGTAAGGAGAAACTTAGAAACATTGCATCACGACTAGGAAATGAAAGTAACTCACTCTGGAGCCTTCTCTCACGGTGGGGCTTTTGAGCAGTTTCAAACACAGAATAACTCTTTAAAAGCACATAGAAATGTTTGCTTCTGTGTAAGCATGAATTGTGCCTGTATTGGCGAGGATAATCTTGGTGGGTTGGTGTGAATATTGTACTTTCAGGGTTGCGGGGCTGCGCTGCCTCGGAATCGAAGTGGTTTCAGTTTCTTTTCTCCGCCTCTGGGTGTCCTGGGTGGAGTTACTGCTGAATATGAACCAGCAACTTAAGTTTTGGGATAAAACTGGTGAGTCCACTCCCCCCTCTTCCCAGGATTATGACAAAATGTGTTTACCATGCTACTGATGAGCCCTTCTAGAGCGCGGTGTTTTCAGGGTGGCATTTAAAGAGGTGAGACCGGGTGTTTCTGTGTGCAAAGGGGAGGATGCGGGAGGAGAGAAGGCAGCACTGGCTCAACTGTCACCTTCCCTGGACAGCAAAACCGCTTCCTGCTCTSCTCTCATGGTTCATCAGTGAAACCCGGAGGCCGCTTGGCCAAAATTATGTTTTCCAGCGCTAGTTATGAGGAATCTTTACCATTATTTCTCGCTAAATACGTGGTTTAGAAAATCAAGTGATAAATTGAGGAAGGCAATGGAGTATGATAGCTGCTTTTCTTTCAGGAAACAAAAATTCTTCGCTGGAAAATCTAAGAAATCTCCAGATTCCTGGAAGACTCTCCAGAAGACTTGGGTCCAAGTAAGAAGAGGCAGATGGAGTAGACGGTCACCACTAACGCAGCAACAACGTAGTAATTTCAGATAAATGAATATAATTCTCCCAAAGGAAGCAGAAGGATAAAGTAAAACAAGGTACTTTTAAAGAAATTAATTATTTTATTGTGCCTCATTCTTCCAAGTGGYTTTAGTTTTTGTCTGTTTGCGTTTTTGTTGTTTTGGCAAAAAGTCCTCTTAGACCAAGTGGACAGCAAGATGCTTGTCTTCTTGGCTTAGAGATGAACCAAGTCCTAATTCTGTCTGCTATGCACTGGGCAAGCTTCATTTCAGAGCACATCAAAACTTCAAGCAATCAAGAAAAATGTTATTACATTAATTCCTGTCTTTGTGCTTTCCCCTGTACTGAAGAGTAGATCTGGGTACTGAGGGGACTAGTAGATCTAGTACTGAAGAGATGCAGGCTGGGCACCCATCTAATGTTTACCACCATGGTGAAAAAAAATGAGGTGATTTGCAGTAGAATAAACTTTTTGCAGATCACATGGTCCCCCCAAGGTACATTTCCCAATTCAGATGTTTGTAGATGCATGCTGCTGCTTTCTTTAGCTCAGTAGCACACTGCAAGATTTACTTTTTTGCTACTTGATCCCCCAACCTCCATAGTTATGAGACCCAAACCTTCTTATGAAGACCCAAACTGCTCTGTAGCCTGCATGAAGAGAAAGGCAAGAGCATGGCTCATCTCCTGGGGCATTCAGGTATTAAATGAGTCATGCCAACCCATACCAGCTGCAGGTCTTAAAGTTCACTTTTAGAAAAAGCTGTTTCTACTGTCAGTGCTTGTTCAGCTGCYTATGCTCTTGCACCATCATTGCTGTTCGTGCCAACACCTTTTACTTCTGGTGTGCCATGGACTTGGAGCTGACAGCAGCACATCGGCAAGGCTGGCAGCAGCAGTGCCAAGAGCAGGGGCAGCAGCTCTAGGGAAGGAAGCAGGAGCAAATGYGGTGAGGGGCTGCGGACCTGACACAGGACAAGGCTGCTGGTGCTCCTGGTGGAGCAGGTCGTGTGTCAGAGGAGCACGTCCRTCATTTCTGATGCCTGATACCACAGTTGGATATTGAGATCTCACYGTGGCCCAGTGTGATTTCTGCTGTGCTTTAAGAGAGGGAAACAGATTGGCTTATTGCCAGTATGCTAGGATGGTTTGAGCTGAGAGGTGGGATTTTCAAAAGTGACTGCAATCAGGGAGCTAACTMGCTCTGTCTTTCAGATTTTATGCACCTCAATTTTGAAAGTGACACCCTCAGGCAAAACCCCAGCTCTCAGTTATACCAAGGAACATACTGCTGAGGAACATACTGTGAATATCTAAGTTTGCTTGATACCTGAAGCCCACACTGATCACTGTTTCCTAAATGGAAAACCCTCTCCCTGATTATGCATCTGCTAGCCAAGTGTGCCTGCATTTTATAAAGTGACAGAGAGGAGCTTCAGCAGTTCTGCGACAGTGCAACTAGCTACCGCAGGGCACATGCTGAGGTGGCTTGTGAGGACACCACGGCATGCTCAGGATGCTCTAGCTTGGTTTGGCTCTGCTCTTCCCGTTCCACAGTTCCTGTTTGACTCCCAAACCAGGCAGTTCATTTGCACGGCCTGAAAGATACCAGGAAGGCAAAGCCTGGAGCACCCTGCACCTGCAAACCATGCAATTAGGTGCAATTGCCCTGCACCTAATAACCGTGCGGACAGCAAGTATCAGTTCCACTTACAAGTCCATGTTGCTGAAAGTCAGAGTTACGCTACTGAGGTGAAGCGGTTCTATCATTGCAAAGCTAACATAAGTAAGAAAAAAAAAACATTTCTGCAAATATTGCTTCACTACTTGATTTTGTTTAATTTGATGTATGTGAAATGTGCTGAAATGGAGTATGGAAGTGATTTCCCTTCCATTTGTGAGACAGCAACAACAAAGTAAGCACCGGGGTATGTTTCCTCCCCACATTGTGTCTCTTCACAATATTACTTATATTCAGATTCTGTAGCTGACCACACCTAAGGGTGAAAAAAGGTTGGATTTCTGTGTGTGTTTGATTTTGTTTCTCCACCAAGCTGCAAACTTTTTGAAGRCCTGCAGGTGTTTTTGTGTCTGACAGACCTTATGGCCACAAAGAGGTATCCAAATGGCTGCAAATAGGTTTCAGTCACAGTTTTTGTATAGTGATGTTTCAGACCTGATATCAAAGGCAATATTGAAATAAAATTATTCTTTAAGAAAATTAAAATATTTACCTTAAATTATTAACAAAATAAAATCTCTATCTTAGAAGAAAATCTAAAGCTAATGCCTTATATGTGATTTAACTTCACACTTAACTTCACTGTGCTCCCTAGCTGAACTGACTTAGCGTTCTACGTGGTAGATTATGCTAATGAAGAAATTAATGGTAGATAACAGCAAGGAAAAATGTGTAATTTGATTAATATGCTACTAAAAACCCCGCTTTTAGTAATGTTTTTCCTTTTTCTTTAAAGRATGGAAAATAATAACACTGAAGAAAATGAGAAATCAAAATTATACGAAAATGTTGACAACTGGACAAAAGAGCAAGTCAGACAATGGGCAATAGAAGAAGTTAAGATGGACAAGAAGCATGCAGACATTCTGTTTAACCAAGATGTTACTGGTGCTATTTTGAGACTGTTAAAAAAAAAAGATCTGGTCGAAATGGGCATAACTCATGGGCCTGCTGTTCRCATTATTCATGTCCTGACCCAGAATAACGTTCTGCCCCAAAGTTCAAACCACGCTGTGGGACAAGAAGATCCCATACATGATCCTGAGGGCAAAGGAGAAGACAAAGCAACTGCAGAACAAGAGTCCCAGAAGAACTACAGCATATCACAGAATTGTAAGACTAAGCCCCTAGAAGACAACGCAGAAAAAGCAACGGATACTAAAGAGGACGTGTCAAAGAAATCACTGTCTAGCAACCAGCACCCAACCAAAAAGATGTGTATGCCACATCCTTTTGATAATTTCAGAGATGGTACTCGATATATTTACCATAATATTCTTAATTTCCCTGAAACAGGACCGCTCAATCTCATCGATCCAGCACATGAATTCAAACTACTCACCAACACAGACAATGCAAAAGAAGAAGATGTTATGATGAAATTTAGCAATGAAGTCTTTAGATTTGCTGCAGCCTGCATGAACTCTCGCACAAATGGTACTATCCATTTTGGAGTTCATGATAACCCGCATGGGCAAATCGAAGGAATAAAAGTTTCCAACCAAGAAGTGTATATTGACCACTTCAATAGATACGTTGGAAAGTATTTTGGGGGGAAGTTCATCGAGATTGCAAAAGCTTGCATTAGGCAACCTAGATTTGTGGAGGTATTATCACCAAATGGAACTCGATCAGATTCATTTGTCATTGAAATAGATATAGTTCCAGAACACTCCGTTTGTGATAATTATTTTTTTGTGACCAACACATACATATACAAAAGTAAGGAATGGAACAAAGCTTTCTTCATCCGGGATGGAGCTAGTTCCAAAAATATTGTTCAAAACATAAAAGAATCCGACAGTTTTAAATCTAAATTGACATCTTTAGCAAATTCTCGTAAAAGTCAAGAGGAAGTCTTTATCTTAAAGCAAAAGAAGTTAAGGAATGAAGGACTAAAACTAGAAAGTCTGCTCACTGGTAACAAAGCCTTGCTGGATGACTCCTACTATGACTACTACATTTTAGTAACAAACAAGTGCGATTCAAGTCAAGTGGCACATTTAGACTTTTTGCAGGAAATAAAATGGTTCGCCGTGCTTGACTTCGATTTTGAATCAGAAGTGAACGGTGTATTCAATACTTACCAAAAAAATCGAAATGCCAAAATTCACTTCCCGGAACATTATGAAAACAAGGAGGGTTCTGTTTCTGAACATGCTGAAAAGCTAAGTCTGCATCAGGAGACCAACTGGATTTTCTGCAATGGTAGATCAGATTCTGAAGGCAGTAAGCATCCACCGTTAGATCCTCTCTCGTGGCAAAGAGATAGGGCTGCTGATGTTAGAAAAATGATTTCATTTCTCTTACACAAAGATGTAAAACAGAGTGGGAAGTTTTTAGTCGTGTTTCTTGTGTTCTCCACCGTGGAAGATTCAATGGATCTCCTTACTGAGACATTTATGGCATTTTACCAAGAATTGAAGGGGCTTGACAACATGCTCTGCATTTGCATTGGCCCACACACATACCAGCGATGGAAAGATCTTTTGTGTGCTAGGCACCTTAGTGAGGAAGACCTTTCAGCCAAATGTATTTCTAATTTAACCCTAGAAATGGTAAATGGTACCATCACAAAATTAAAATCAGTGACACACTCTTCTGTAAGACTTCTACCCTCTGCTAATGGTTCTACYGTTCTTTTAAAGAAGGAAGAAGACTCCATGGCAGCGTTAGAAATCCTTTGTATAAATGAGTGCAAAGACACAGAGATAGAGAAGGATACAGAGAAATTTAAAAAATTCCTGAAAGAACGGGAAGAAGATTTTTATCGAGGCGGAAAAGTGTCATGGTGGAATTTTTACTTCTCTTCTGAAAATCATACATCAGATTTTATCCAAAGGGATGGTTATGAAAAGCTCCAGGAACTAATTTTGTCTTCRTCTAACAGTACTAATCAATCAGCTGTTGAAATTATCAACCTCTACCACCACCCAGGCTGTGGTGGGACAACATTAGCTATGCACATGCTCTGGGATCTTCGGAAGCAGTTCCGATGTGCTGTTCTGAAAAACAAAACAAATGGTTTTGAAACACAACTGACAACTTTAATCACCTATGGAACAAACAACTCCGCAGGTTATACACCCGTGTTACTTCTTGTGGATGATTTTGAAGATCAAGAAAACGTCTATATTCTGCAGAAAGAAATTCAGAAAGCTGTAGCAGAGAAACACATTCATTGGGCAGGTCCTTTGGTGATCATTCTGAATTGTATGAGATCTCAGAATCCTGATGAAAATTCAAATATCAATGCCTTGAACAGTGTTTCTCTAAAACAGCTGCTTTCTCTAAAAGAGCARAGGGCTTTTGATCAGAAACTAAAAGATATTGAAAAGCAGCATTCAAATCCTGACAACTTCTATTCGTTTATGATTATGAAGAAAAACTTTGATCCACAGTACATTAAAACTGTAGTAAAAAATACCTTGAATAACTTGGATACTACCACTAAACAAGCAAAACTTGTTTACTATTTAGCATTGCTAAACTCTTATGTAAGTAAATCTGCAGTTTCAATATCACTATGTGAAGAATTCTTGGAAACTAATTCTCGAGAGATGGGCTGCAATAAAGATAAGCTGATAGAAAAGATAGGAATTTGTTCRAATATTCTAATATATACTCAGGTAGAAGAATACTCGAGATACAGAGGTCTGCGTATCATTCACCCCAGGATAGCAGCTCACTGTCTAACACAATTGAAAACAGCCTACAGCTTGTCTAAAAGTGAAATTACTTTGCAGTTATTAAAAGAGGATTTATTTTATTCTGAATTAGCAGAAGACAAACTTAGTCGTGATATACAAACCATGCTGATTGCTAGACATCGTAAGGAGTATGGTGATGAATCAGATACATTGTTTGCCCCATTAATTGAAGACATTGGCCATGAAGAGAAGAATGCTAAAGTGATAGATGTGTTCAAACAAGGATCCACTAGATTTAAGCAAAATGCTGTCATTTGCCAAGCCTTAGCAAGATACTTCTGCATTAAAGAGAAGAATTTTGACTCTGCATTGGACTGGGCCAAAAAGGCCAAAGAAAGAGCACCAGACAATTCATACATATCAAACACATTAGGTCAAGTCTATAAAAGAAGGCTAAGATATTGGCTTGAGCACAAAAGAAAGAGTGGAGCCATGACAGCTGAGGAACTGAAGTGTATGCTGGAGCTTGCTCAGAATGCCTCGCAGATTTTCAGGGAATCTCAGCAGCAAGCTGAAAATGCACACAGTGAACAACGTTTGCAACATCTAAAGCAAAAAAGAAAGTTTCCCATATACAACACCGCTGGTTATCTGGGAGAAATAGAAACTTGTCTTCATGTAGTTGATGTCCTTCAGCTTGTTCCTATGTTCAGCAAAGACCAATGGTGTAGAAAACAAATGGCTAGATGTCTATCAGGAAAGAYGGTTCATATCACTGCCACAGAGAGCAAAATCTCTGAGGTCCTTGCACTTCATTCCAGCCTTTTAAGTAATTTGCAGTCACRTTTGAGAAAGGCATTTGACTTTTTGGAAGACTACTTTGTCTTTTTCAAAACACAGACCAATGAAAGAGAAATTGCAGAAGCAAGAATATTTGAGAAGGTTCAAGAATGTTTTACCAAATACACAGAAGCATTTTGCAATTCCAGTTTTGAGCAGCTGAAAAGTGAACAGATCTCAAGGTGGACCTTGTCTCGGCGTAGGGAAGCATACAGGGACAGTTTGGAGGCTTCTAAAGCAGACTCGTTTTCTGGACTTTTGGAATACCTCCACAGAAATCGCAGAAATGCTGATGGAGAACTAGAGGACATAGTAGAGGCCTATGAATTTTTGTGTGAGGAGAATCCAGATGCAACTCTGAAAGAAAAACAGAATTTGATTTTGGCAAATGTTGTTCTCAAGTGCATTAAACCTAAATCCCTCAAGGTGCCTCCTTTTAAAAAGCTGAGAAACCAGCTTCTGAATATTCTAGAGAAAGCACAACTGTCCCCACAGTACATGGAGCCTTTCTTCCTAGCCTCCTTCTTGTTCTGGCCTGAAAATCCAAAGCAACCAAATGAAGAATCCAGGGAAATGGCAAGCTATGTTACCCATTTATATGAGTCTTTCAAAAAGCACTATGGAACTCTGTGCCATGCCAAACTGCCTCTGGCTCATTTCTATCTTGGGAAAGGCACTGGCCTCAACAGATTTGTTCACAAAGGAAAAATAGATCAGCTCTTTAGCTCTCTTCCAGAAGAGCAACTCAATTGCCTGTGGCAGAGTAGAAATATCTGGAAGGAAAAGGCTGTTCAGAATCTTTTGCTTCCTCTGCAAGGCAGAGCTGAGGGTAAGATCATCTACGCAGACTACGGCAGTACAGAAACCTTTAGGATACCAGTGCAGCCAGTTCCCTCATGCATGTTGGAAAAGGGCCCAACTATAAAAAGAGTGTCTTTTTACCTTGGGTTTTCCACCGCTGGTCTCCAGGCATACAACAYTGAAATCTGTCATTAAAACAGTATTGCAGTCCAGCATTGCTGCCACAAGACTTCTTTAGACACAGCTATCCTTAAAAATTTTTGTCAACAATTGCAAGTGCTGATTATATAAGTGCCACCATCATAATCACTGTTTGGACAATCCGTCAGACTGAAATATTGGTGCAGTTAGTGTGATAAACTTGTCAGTACTGTTCAAAGTTCTTCTTGGGTTGATGGAGGCATAAGAAACCATTCAGAAAAGAAGAAACAATTCTAAAGAATACTTTGAAAATATAATAATGAAATGAAATACTCTCTCTGGTAAAAACTGTATTATCTTGCTAGCATTTTTGCCACTATTCTTAAGGAAGGATATGTCACTATCTTCATATTTCTGTATAAATGATATATAAGGAAGTAATGTATATTAGAAAATATGTATCATTTAACATGGGCTGATGCTGCATTGTACCTGGTGTCACCTTGGTATAAGAAGAATGAAAATGCCATTCAGCTGCAAAGCAGCATTTTGTCCTCTGCTGTCATGTAATCCAGATGGTATGGTATCCAGGAGATACGCATGGACCTACATTAATAGCCACACTGTGCATCTTGTGGGAGGACAGTGGTTTTTTTCACTTTTCAGGGCATTTCCAAATATGTGAGTATTAAAGGTACAGCTACTTTCTGCTTTGCAGTAAAAATACACATACTAGTTTGAATCTGATACCAATTTGAATCTAATATTAAATAGATTTATTATTATTATCTTTTTTTTTTTTTTTTTTTTTTTGTGGATCTGCTACTGCTTTATGTAAAATTGGGTCTTTCTTTTTATTATAAATTCCGTGAGTTACTTCCAGGAATAGATTCTTGTCAGATTTGATCCTTGCAAATACACGCAATTAAAATGTTTTAAATGGTCACTGATTCATGCATTAATTTCCTCATGGGTATAGAACTGCGTGCTGTGTTAAGACACAATTAATCTGAAAAAAAGTAACTACTCTTCAGACAACCTATATTTCTGTTGGTGACTATGTGTAACCATGAGTGTCTCTTACTGACTATGCACTTTATGTTATCCTGTATCCACTTTGTTTCTAATAGGATACTTTTATTATATATAGCATACGACATGGACRTTTCATAGCAATTGATTATTTGTTGTATTTAGTTCTTAGGATAATACTCTGCATTTTAACAATTGCTAAGCTRTTTATCTTTCCAAATAAACTTTTCCAGCAAGAAATTTGTCATGTCTTCAAAGCAAGTGAAAGCTTCAGACTTCATTTCAGTCAGTCACATTTCCTCAGTCACATCTAAGAATTACAAGGGATTTTTGTGCTCAAACTCAGGCCAGCTGTACAATATGRATATTTAGTAATAAACCTTGGGATCTTGCAGAGTGCATTATATGCTAGGCACTTCAGTACAAGCCTAGGTGAATTTACAGAAAAACAGATTTTRTTGTTTTTGTAAGAATGTTTGTTATAAAAGTGTATTTTTATCAGCAGTAGACAATTAATAAATACAAATATTTGATGCCATCTTTAATTATGCAAACCATGAACTGTATGATGATATATTGCACAGACAAGAGCTGGCAGCTGTTTTTACCTATTAATTCCTATTACATTACTTTGTAAGACCAGTTTCTTCTTTCTTCATAACTCTGTAAGTCTTTGCACTTTGAAGACTAAACTCCCATGTCAAGTATTTGCCACAGAATTATTTTGTGCTAATTAAAACCAAAGGGTTCAGAAACTTCCAAGAGTGAGATCAGGAAAAAATATATCCCTCATGTAAACAATGCTACTGACTTTTTCTAGCCTACTCAGGCATTCTTTTGAGCAAGGCTTTACTCCAGTAGGAAATACATCTGCATTAGTTGACTTTCACCGAGTTGCAATGCCTGACAACACTGCCATTTGCATATACATTTGKATATGCCGTTTGCATATACAAACTTGATCTTAACAGCAATGTCTATATACCCAGGCAGTCTCTGGAGTTTCAGGTCTGAGCTGCRAACAGCCAGGTCTAAACTGATTGCTTACCACTGAGCTTTCAGTGCTGAGGCTGGAAACCTGAGGGAAAGAGTTTGATTCAAGTGTACAGGATCCAAAGTCAGGTTGGTGGGAAAGTGGGGAGGACCAAGAAGTTTGATCTGGCCTTTTTTTWATTATTTTTTTGGATCATGGTAGCTCCTGCAGGTTCAGGTGGAGTCTTATGTAGCAGCAGATCCGGAATCTGCTCCTGGGGAAGTGCAAGGCATCCACAGTCAAGGGGGCATCAGTTAGAGGCATTGAGGCTTCTTTCCTGTGTAAATTTAGAGACAGAAGTACAGCACATGAGCGGACTTCACAGTTCTGTGGAATTCACTCTCTGTATGGACATCACAGTGAGAAATTGCTATTAAGGAGAGCTTGAGGGAAACAGACTGGAGCATGGCAGCTGGGATTCAGGATAGGAGCAGCTACACAGGTAAAAGCGGACAAGAACTGAGAAATAYGAAGCAAAATAAGATGTATCTGGGGAGCTAAAATGCTCAAAGGGAGATATGGAACAAAAAAGCAAGGTGGAAGGTGGGAAGTGAAGAGGATGGGATGAGATATGGTGGGATGGGATGGGACAGGAACAACTTTTAAGATTACAGAGGAGTTTCAAACTGGAACTAGGGTAACACATGGAGCAATGGTTGTGGGACCTGTGAGGGAAGAATGAACAAATAGAGATGCCCTATGAAGAAGGAAGGAAGGAAGGAAGGAAGGAAGGAAGGAAGGAAGGAAGGAAGGAAGGAAGGAAGGAAGGAAGGAAGGAAGGA